GTATTTAATAAATCTAAAATGTGTTTTGTTCGTCAAATAACTCTGTCTAACAGATATTTTCAATTACCTTTTATTGTTCAATTTATTAATATTTGATCATCTTTTACTATTGATCAAATTCATCATATGCTTCGATTTTTTCATTATGAAAAAGAAATCGATCAAATAAAATTATTACCTTGGAATATTTCTCCAACGTCTAATAGTATAACAACTTCAGAATTTAATATAGATTATCCATATTCATCAATAGTATTAATGAACGATGGTTCATTACTTATATCAAATAATATACAAAATTTAATTCAACTTATTCTTAACGATCAATCGAATGATATTGATGATTGGTGATTATATTGTGATAAATTTTTTGTTGCCTAGTTTTTGGTCTTTCCGTTTTCCTGTTTCTGTCATCTTCTGAACAAGAAAGAAACCAGTATTGCAATATGATTTATGTATTTTTGAAAGATAATAAAGTAAGAAAACTTTCCTTTAGATGACAACAGTTAAATCCTTACATGAAGACATACTTTATATAATTCTATCAAAATTTTCATCATCAATAGATATGTGGCATTTTCTTCAAGCACTTGATTTTGATTTATCCAGAATAATTCATTTACGTGCTTTTTGAAGGTGAGCAAACATTGGAAAAATGTTTATTTTACATAATTTTGTTTTCTTTTTTTTTTCTTTTAAAGCTATATTCGATTATCATCATTACATAATAAGAATGCTTTATTACCGTTTGTTAAAGAAATTGCTATGTATTGTGTAGATCTTCTTATTGATAATCTGAATTGGATGTTTGCAGCTATTAATTAACGATATTAAAATACTTTTTCCTTTTTTAAAATATATTACTTTATTAATATCAGTTGATAATTCGAAGATATCACATTTATCTACTCGTCAATATTCAACTACTGATACTATATTTCAAGAAATATGTGCATCATTGAATGCGATCACTCAACTTGAACATATATCATTAGTATTGCAAGAAAAGAAAGGTATTAAAAGAATTAATTTAACAAAAAAATTAATTTATTTGATTACTTTTTAGGAGCTTGTCTTTCTGATGCAGATGCTCAAACGTATTTTCATTTAGTAGATGGATATATATCTAATATGACAAATCATTATAAACTTATATCTATTGAAGAAAATGGATATGAAGTTAAAAATCGATTTTTTTCATTGGCAACTTCTAATGGACGAACATTGGGATCAATAAATTTATCTTTAATATCGACATTAAATCATTTAATAGTTTCTTTTCGATCGATGCCAAATGTAAACTTAACATTAGATATTAAAGACTCAACGATAGATAAATTGCAAGTTCAAACTTTAGAATTACCATGTGTACCATCGACATCAAAGTCAATTGATATTCTTGATCTTAATCAATTAAAAATACTTGATATTGGTTATGTATATGTAAATGACAGAATAGAATTAACACGACTTGATCAAATTCTTTTTTCTCATCGTCAGAAATCTCTTCGAGATTTAACTATTAGTTTAAGTGAATGACAATCAGCGAAACTTATTGTAATATGGAAAAAAGAAAACAACAGTAAACAAATAACAACTTAAAAAAAACGGTTTAGTTCTGTGTTTGAAAACTGCTTTAATCAAATTGAAACATTAGAAGAAGATGAACAAGAAGAAACAGAAAAACCGATCGTATTGGAATCATCTACAGACATCGAACAGGTAATTTCAGTTCTCTACCTTATAGCTTTGTTGATTTATGAGACTCACACAGTGAGAAAATCATATTTTATAGTGAAATGGTCTAACATAATGGAAGGGTGTGGGGTGTGTTATGAAGAAAATCACCCGAACTACCCACACCCACACCCGATGTAGTAAAAATCAATTATTAACATCTTGACTAGAGTTGCCCACAATTGTCCCTGACAAGTCTAAGTACAAAAAAAAAGTAATTATGTTATATGCACAATATTTGTAATATCTGTATAGAAGGATTATACTTTATATTAATTCTCATCTCTTTTAATTTCAATTGAAAATTGGATTTAAACTACATCATTTTAGTTCATGTTCAAGCTGAAATAAAAAAAAGTAATTTAAAATAAATATAAATCGTTATATGAAAATAAATTTTTATTTAGTTTAATGTTCATTTCTTTCTCAATTTTTATTGTCTTTTTAATAAAAAATAACTCTTACTAAATTGTGATGACCAAAAAATTTTGACTTTTAAACGATAAAAAAATTCTGAATTAATTATTGTTAGCTGGGTTTAATTAATTATGAATTTAACGGTAAATATTTTGTGGAACTCACGTATATTTTCGAAGAAAATAGTGAGTGTAAGTTTTAAGATCAGGACTTTCCGGCTCCTTCTTCCTTCCCTTCCCACCCCACCACTTTTCACACACATGGCAACGGAAAAGAACATTGCAGACAAATCTCCATTACAGACATACGCCTCATTGGGGGTGTGGTTGTGGAGTGTAGATGTGGATGTTGGCATATTGATCAAC